AAGAAATAAAGGGATTCAAATAGGCAAGGAAAAAAAATCAAGCTATCTCTATTTGCCATATGACATGATTCTATACATAAAGACCTAAAAATTCACCAAAAAAAATTAGAAATCATAAACTCTTTTGGCAAAGTAGCAGGATACAAAATTAATGTACAGAAATCAGTGGCCTTCCTCCATGTCAACAATGAAGAGACTGAGAAAACAATCAGGAAACAATCCTATACAACAGCCTCAAAAAAGTATCTTTGTAATAAATTTGATGAAGGTTTGAAACCAAAGAACTTTTCAATGAAAACTGTGAACCACTGAAGAGAGAGACTGAAAGAATATCAGAAGGTGGAAAGCTCTCCATGCTTGTGGATCAGTAGAATCTACACTGTGAAAGTGGCCACATTACCAAAGGCAATCTACATGTTTGATGCAGTCCCTACCAAATCCCAATGATGTTCTTCACAAAGACAGAAAATAAATCCTAAAATACATATGGAACACAACATCTTGAACAGCCAAAGCAATTCTGAGAAAAATGTTCATGCCTGGAGGTATACAATACCCACTTCAAACTATACTACAGAGCCATAACAAAAATGGCATGGTAATTGGCACAAAACGACATGAACACTCATGGATTAGACTAGAAAATCCAACATAAATCCATGCAGCTGTGGCCAACTGATCTTCGACAAGCAGCCCAAAACACACACGCTGGAGAAAAGACAGCCTCTTCAACAAAGGTTGCTGGGAAAACTGGATATCCACATGAAGAGACTGCAACTAGATCCTAGTCTCTCACTTGTACCAATATAAACTCAAGTGAATCAAAGACTTTAATCTAAGGCCTGAAACTTTGAAACAACTACAGAAGTAGTAGGAAATATATTGGAACACATAAGTGTAGGGAATGACTTCCTAAGAACTCAAAAAGTCAGCATCTAAGAGAAAGAAATGAAGAAATGGGACTGCATCAAACTAAAAGAGCTTCTGCACAGCAAAATAAACAGTCACTAGACTCAAGAGACAGCCCACAGATGGGAAAACATCTTTGCCTGCGATTCATCTGATAAGAGACTAATATATAGAATTTGCAGGGAACTCAAAAACTCAACCCCCAAAGAATCAACACCCCAGTGAAAAAAATGGGCACATGAATTAAATAAATAGGGAATTCTCAAAGGAAGAGGTACAAATGACCATAAATACATGAAGAAGTGTTCAATGGCCCTGGCTACAAAAGAGATGCAATCAAAACTATACTAAGATTTCATCTCACCCCAGTTAGAATGGCCATAGCAAAAACAATGCTAGTGAGGATGCAGCAGTACAGGAGCCCTTATACCACGGTTGGTGGGAATGCAAATTAGTACAACCACCATGGAAAGAAGTATGGAGATTCCTCAAAAAAGTAATGATAGAACTCTCATATGATCCAGTGATACTGCCTCCTGGGCATCTACCAAAGGAACATAAGACAGGATACTAGAGACACCTGTATACCCCTGCTCATTGCAAGCACTATTTACAATTGCCAAGCAGTAGAGCCAGCCTGAGGCCTTACAATTGGTGAATGGATCAAGAAAATGTGGTGTATATACACAATGGAGCTTTACTCAGTCATAAGGAATAATGACATCATGTGGTTTGAAGGTAAATGGATGCAATTGGAGGACATCATGTTAGGTGAAGTAAGCCAGGCTCAGAAAGACAAAGGCTGCATGTTTTCTCTCATACCTGAAAGACAAATCCAACATATAAACATATACACAAAAACAAACATGATCATATACAAACTCATATGTAGAACATGTGTGTAACAGTGGAAGTACACTATGAAACTCAGGGAAGGAGGGAAAGGAAAAGAGAATGATAGAGCATCAACAATATCATAAAACATAACATTTGTGAGGGTAGAGGACACAAGGATGTGTATTGAAAGCTGCTGAAAAATGGGGGGTAGGAGGTAAAGGGGTAAGGGACAGCAATGATTGAATGAACCAAAGTAAAGTACACTCACAACAAGGATACATTGAGATACCTGTTTGAGCACTGACTTAGATAATAATAAAGACACAACTGTAATACAGGTACAGTGTATGTGGAGCGAGGGTAATTTGTGGGAGGGAGGAGGGTGAACAAAGGATATTAAGGTAAAGTAATATGGTTAATGTAGTTCATATACTTACATGAAATAAAACAAAGAAACCTCTTACAATAGTTTTAAGTGGGGTGGGGAGGGAGTTGAGGGAGAGAGAAGTGATGTGATCTAACCAATGTACAATATAAGCCTATTTGGAATTGTTACAATGAATCCCCTCTGTACAACGAATATATTCTAATAAAAAATTAATGAAAAAAAGAAAGAAGGAAAAAATGATAAATTAAACTTCAAAATCAAAGATTTTTTTACTTAAAAGTACAGCATCAAAAATGTGAAGAGACAGCTCCAACAATGTGGAAAATTTGTAATCATCTTTCTAATGAGGGACTTGTACACAGAATATACACAAGGAACTCTTACAACTTCACCTAGGATGTAGCTCAGTGGTACAGCATGTGATTACCATGCATGAGCCCTGAGTTTGATCCGAGCAACACACGTACTCTCTCTCTCTCTCTTTCTCTCTCTCTCTCTCTCATAACTCAATAATAAAAGGCAAAATAGTTTTTAAAAGAACAAAGGATCTAAATAGATATTTATCTGAGGAAGATACAGAAATGGCTAACAACACCTGAAGAAGTGTTCAACATCACTCATTAGTCATTACAGAAATGAAGGTCAAAGTCAGCATGAGAAAACACGAGGATGGTGCATTAGTTTCCTCAAAAATTACTATAACTTAAGTGTCTTAAAAAAAAAAAGGAAATGCATTTTCTCACAGATCTGGTAGTCAGAAATCTGAACCAAGCCAGCAGGGCTGAAAGCTCAGAGAGAATTCCTCCTTGCCCCTTCCACCTCCTGGTCTCTCCATGAGTTCCCTGGCTTTGGCAGTCACCCAGTAGCCCAGCAATTCTATGCTTAGGTACACACCCAAGAGAAATGATAGCATCACGTCTGCATGAAAACTTACACGTGAACGCTCAGAGTAAAACCAATCCAAATTGTCCAACTTAGCAGTGCATAAATAAGATGTACCATTACTTACAACTAATTACGATTCCACAATAAAAAGAAACTAAATACTGACACCTGCCACAATGTGAATCTTGAAGATGGTGCACTAAGGAAAGAAGCCAGTCCCAAGAGAACAAGCACTGAAAGATTCCATGCGTAAGAAATGTCCACAATAGGTCAGTCTATTCGGCTGGAGCCCAAGAGAGGACAATGAGTGACTCCAATGGACACAGGGCTTCTTTTCGGGGAGATGGAAAAGTTTGAAAACTGACTGTGGTGATGACTGAACAGGAGAATTACTACTACCTGTATGGATTTTATGGTATGTAAATTACATCTCAAAAAGCTGTTCCTTTTTAAAGTGAGTTATTCACAACCGAGCCAGATAGTGACTTGATTACCTGACTTTCATGAACAAATTTTTATTTTCTATTGGATTAAAAAGTACTTGTTTTGTCACAGACATAATTTGCTAAGTACTAACCCTGAATCAATCCTGTTTTTTTAACAACATTAAGTTTTCCAGTTGGTGAACATGAGATGTATTTCTAAGTATTTAAGTCTTCTTTAATTTCTTTGCTCAACCTTTTAAGGTTTTAAGGGTACAAGTTTCCCCTCCGAGGCTAAAGTTAGTACTAAGTACTTTATTCTTTCTGATGCTATTGAAAATCAAATTGTTTGCATAGTTGTTACAAGTGTATAAAAAGACAGTCATTTATGTGTTGACTTGAAATCACGCAACTTGGCTGAATTCACTCACTACTTACCTTTATGGCTCAGGTGTTGAAAAACCTGCTGCTAACCAAGAATGCAGTCATGTTTGAATAGGGTCCTTACAAAGGCAAATCCTTCTTGACCCATCATCACACCGAATGGAATGGATTAAGCTCTTCTACTAAAGGTGGACACTGGCCTGGTGCACCACAGATCAACCCGTGTTGTGGAATTAAGACTAAGAAACAGCCAGTCAGTCAGTTCCTCTGTGACCAGAATGACTGGATACCCGTGAGAGCAGAAGACAGGCCCTGTTTTAGTTGCTGCGTGCATTCCAGGGGCAAAGAGAATGTCCAGAGAAACAGAAACCATGAATGTGTGCACCCACAGACAGACACACAAACCTCAAGAGAGAAAAAGGGAAATCTGAGTTGGTCTTCCAGTTCCTAGTTCCTGCCCCTATGTAGGTAACCCTCAGGACCCCCAAAGCCCTTGGAAAAGAGTGGAGTCACTGTAGCTTTTGTGCAACAGCTCTGAGAGAGATTGCAACAGTCCAAGAAGACAGTTGCTGAACTCCCCTGTTCTCTCTCTGCCTGGGACTGGGAAAACCCAGTCCATAGAACATGATGTTCTGCACTTGGGCTCGTAGCCATAGCAACGTGACAGCCAATCTCAGTACAGACGTCAAGGGAAACCTGGGGACTACCACATACTCCTTCCTGCTCGTCTGCACTGCTTAAATACTCTCTCCAGAAAATCAGCTATGCCACTGCTGCCCGGCACAGCCCCCAGTTCATGTCATTATTTGCCGCTCGAGCCCCCCTGGAACCCCCACTGCAGCTGGACTGCAGCGCTTCTACCGAGACTTGGTCACATTCCTACCCCTGAGTTCTCAAACAAGCTTAAACTTTGAGTTTCTTTGTACAAACTTGCTGAAGTACGCCTTTGACACCTGCAACTCAAATGTCCTGACTTACACTTTCTACTTCCTGTCTCCCCTCTTTAACTAGTTTTCCAGAGACACAGAATTTAAATTAATCTCTACTTTTCCAAGAATAAGGACATGAGTCCCCACAGTATAACTGTGTAGCAATGATGAAGTAAAAAGTGATGGCAAATATAAAAGGCTGATTAAGGGGAAGGTCTTAAAGGCAACAGTAAGACATGATCTCACCTCTAGATTCTCTTTTTTATAGACTTCAATAGCTTTCTCCTCAGACAGGCCACAGCAGCCATATTCCAGGGGCGTAAACAGTGTAGTGGGAACATTGATATAGTCACACTGAAAAACAGACAGTTACCTTCTCTTACTGTGTGACACTTGGCTCAGCAAGAGTTTGCATCACAAATATTTAGAAAAGGGAGTACGACTGTCAGATTGAAAGGACCAAAACAGACACACACTTAACAGACGATTGAAGAAGACTGAGCATTACTGCATTTTGTTGAATTTCTCAGATATGGTAATGAATGGTACTTAAGAATAACCTTGCACCAATGACTCATGCCTGTAATCCTAGCTACTCAGGAGGCAGAGATCAGGAGGGTCATGGTTCTAAGCCAGCCCAGGCACATAGTTCATAAGACCCTATGTCGATAACAAAAAAATAAAAACCTTCACAATAAAAAAGGCTGGTGGAGTGGCTCAAGGTGTAGGTCCTGAGTTCAAGTGCCAGAACCACCCCCCCACCAAAAAAAAGAATAACCTTGTACTTGAGATATAAGTATGAGTAGTTAGGAGAAAGATGTCATTTTATGTCTGCCAATTCAAAAAGCTCAGCAAAAAAAAAGAAAGAAAAAGTATATGTTTTATACTTAAGACATATTCAGAAAAAGGAGAGTGAGCAAAAACAATCAGATGTTAGCAACTGGGGACTCTGAGGGAAAGGTATAATATGGGTGATTGCTTGATTTTCCTTCTGTGGTTTGACATCTGTGTAAATGGAAAGGTGGGAGAAATAAGGTCTTCAACAGTTCCTCATGGCCTGCAGAAGGTCTGACCCACTCTTTGTTGTGCCATCAAACACTTCTGAGAACCTAGCACCAAATTAATTTTCCAGCCCCATTCCCTTATCACCAACTGGTCTGCTTACAGATACCATATAAGGATACCTGCAGTGTGGATGATATGGTTCTTTGCATGGCATTCCTGGACCCTATGGCTAATGCCATCTCTAGGCCATAATCTGCTGACACCTGGTGGAGCAGAGCAGCACTTCCAGTGGGACTCCTGTAAGGTGCTCACAGGCCTTATCAGACCATGGCTACAGCCCTGTGTGCCCTTATCTAAGCTGTGTGCTACTAGAGAAATACTTTGTTTATCTGCTGTTGAATTACAACCTACAAAGGCCATGCCAAACCTTTGATCAAAAGATATGAAAGGCAGAAACCACTGACTCACAGCATTGTCCTCCCAGATGGTGAAATTGACATCCCAGGAAGCAAAGCCAGCTGGCCAAGGACACACCAAGCAGGCACTGAAGCCGGGGCTGGATCTGAACATGCCCAGACTCTTTCTCTGTTATACTCAGCTGTCCATCTAGGAAGTCTTCCCCTCCTTTCAGTTAGAATCCAGCCATCCTTTCCCCAGTCCTAAAACAACTGGCTTCCAGCAGCCTTGGCACACAATCTTATTCTCTTATTATTTTCCTCAGTTTGTCTGACTCATGACCTCCACCCACCTGGTGAGCCCTTTGGCTGTACCATAGTAATCTTTTCAATATTGCAGCACAACATCTTGCAGAATGCAAGTTCACATTTATTTAAAACCACTAGTCAATAGTAAGACAGCTGCCAATTAATCTCTGGGAACCCTTTACTTGGAAATCGAGCACACAAGTGTTATTCCTACTGATCTCAAAGTCATAATTTTGATCAAGACATTACCTCAGGCCTGGTGCTGTAGCTCAGTAGAGTAGAGCACTTGCTTAGCATGCATGAGGTGCAAGTACCATACACACATGCACACACGCACACACACACCACACACACATGCACACGTGCACACACATGCACACACCACACGCACGCACACACATGCACACACGCACATGCACACACACACGCACACACATGCACACGCACACACACGTGCACACACACGCACACACATTCACACACCCATGCACACACGCACACACGCGCACACACCACACACACGCGCACACACCACACACACGCACGCACACACACACGCACATGCACACACCACACACGCACACACATGCAAACGCACACACCCATACACACACCACACACACACGCACACGCACACACCCATGCACACACGCACATGTACACACCACACACACGCACACACACGCACGCACACACATGCACACACATACACATGCGCGCACGCACACACACGCACAAAATGATACATCAACCATAGGAAGAAATTACCTTTTGTGAAGAGGCCCCAAAGAGTCTTCGAGCCAGCAGCTTGCCTGCCTGTATGGCAACTGGAGTGAGCTCTGGTTTGCCTTCCAAAACATCCCCAATGGCATAGACGTAGGGCACGCTGGTCTGTTCCACATCATTCACTGGTATCTTGCCATTTCTGGTAGTGTTTGAGAAGGAAAAATACACTACGATTAACTCTGTATTGCTGACTGACACCACTCCAAAAACTAAATACACAAAGGCTTTCCTCTAACAACACCTCAGGTTATCAATAATTGTTAAGATCACTGGCTCAAATAACCAGGCTTTCCATAGTTCCAAAAGGACACATCTCTCTGGTGAAGCCAGGCCCATCCTTGGATACCTAAGATCACCTCCAGAATCCCACAGTCACTCCTGGACCTTTGGAATTTCCCTCCTTGCCGATCAATGGCATCAAAACTCGCTCTGAATCACAGAGAGAAGGTGAACAGATCTCCACATGCTTCTTAAATTGCTGTTGGATGCATGAGCTCCTGCAGTAAGAGGTGCTGACTCATCCACTGATTAAGAAACTAGTAGTACAGAGCATGCCAGCACTTCTTGCAAGAGAAATTTAGAGTGTTCATGTTTTCTCTTACAATTAAATGAGGAACTCTAAGAGGCAACTTCCGGCAAGACTTGGCTGTGTGCAGCAATGGTGCAGTGATGCCACACATACTCACTTCTCATTGATTCTGACACCAATCTTCTCCAAGCCCATTTTCCTTGTACAGGAGTCACGACCAATGGCTAACAAAACCTATGTTTAGAGAGAGAGAAAAAAATTCTCAGGAGAGAATGAAGGGCACTGTTATAGATCTGTCAGACTTTAGAAGGATAATGAAATATTACAACAACCTATGCCAGTAAATATGGCAGCTTAGGTCAAAGACTCCTTCAAAGATACAACTTGCCAACTCTACCCACATGAGTCTACATGAGCCTGTTAGGAGCTGAACTGTGTCCCCTCAAAATCCACATGCTGAAGTGCTAACCCAAAGTATCTCAGACTCTGACAGTATTTCAAGAGGTAATTAAAACAAAATAAGCTCACATAGGCTTGTCCCCTAAAGGGGGGCAGCCTTGTGTTATAGGCTTGGCACACAGCCTGTGGTGTTAGGGAAGGTGGTGGAGCTTTGAGAAGCAGGGCCCATTAGGAGGAAGTAAGGTCACTGAGGGTGTGACCTCAAAGGGACTGTGGGGCTCTGGTCTCCCTTCCTCTTTGTGCTTCCCAGTCCCTGGGAGGTAAGCAGATTCTGCCATGTGCTCCAACCACAATGTGCTGCCCAGCCACAGGTTCAAACGCAATGGGGTCAATTGCCCATGGACTGAAGCCTCCAAAACTGTAAGCCAAAACACACTTTTAAGGTGATTACCTCATATATTCTGCTATACTAATGGAAAGCTGACCATCAAAGCCACAATAAAGTATAAGTGATGTCCTCGTAAGGACAGGACATTAGGATACAGACAACACTCAACAGGGTTGACCAGGTGAGGCCACAGAAGAAAGGTAGACATCTGCAAGCTAAGCAGAGAAGTTTCAGGACAAAGTCAACCTAGTAACTATGTGATCTTGAACTTCCAACCTCCAGAACTGTGAAAAAGAACTTCTGTTGCCTAAGCTAGCCAATCTGTAGTATTTTGCTAAGACAACAAGAAAAAGTACTCCACAGTATTAGTAATCAGGAAGATACAAAACATAGTAAGACACCACTACACATCTTCTAAAATGGCTAAAATGAGAAAGCCAGACAACCCCAAAGGTTGGTGAGAGCCAAACCCTTATGCATGGCTGGTGGAAATATAAAGTAATGCCTTCATTTGGAAATTCACTGTCAGTTTCTCAAAAAGTTAAATGTATGGCTGAGCATGCTGGTACACGTCTATAATCCCAGCTACTTAAGACGTGGAGATTGAGAGGATCATAGCTAAAGGCCAGCCCAGGCAAAAGTTAATGAACCCTTTCTACCTCAACCAACAAGCTGGGCATGAGGTTAACACCTGTAATTCCAGCTACCTGGGAGCCATTCATCGGAAGATCACCATCCAAGGCTGTCCTGACAAAAATGTGAGACTTTATCTGAAAAATAAAAAACCCTGAAGCAAAAAAGGATTGGGGTGGGGGGTGGCTCAAGTGGTAGAGTACCTGCCTAGCAAGCACAAGGCCAAGTTCAAACCCTAGTACCACCAAAAAAAAAAGTTAAATGTACAAACTGTACTATGATCAAGCAATATCACTCCTTGGCATTTACCCAGGAGAAATTGATATATGGCCACAAAAAGCTTAAACAAGAAACCTCCTGGTTTTAACCACAACAGCCCAAACTGAGAAGAAGCTAGGTGTCTATAGACAGTAAAGCACATAAACCAACCACACTGCACACACCCTCCCCATCCATTCCTAGTTAATCATGCATCCTAACAACATCATCCTGAACAAAGAAGCCAGGTACTGAGGCACCCATACTGCAATGGTTCCATCTTGCTACGTGTAGAATAGGCAAACCTAATCTGTGGGGCTAGAGACCCCACAGTGATCGCAGGGGCTGTGGACTGGGAAGCAGCACAAAGAGCTTTCTGGACCCACAGACGTGGTCTGCTGCCTTTAAAGGGGTATGGAGTGCTTGAGTGTGAGGATATGTCAAAATCACTACCTGTTCCTCTGAGATCTGTGTTTCACAGCATCCAAATTACACCTCACTAAAGATAAATAATTCTCAAAGTGAGATGTCATCAGTAACTTTATACTGATACATTTGAAAACTTAGGTGAGATGGACTAAGTCCTGGAAAACATAAAACTACTCAAAAGTAGCTCAAGAAAAAATGGAAGACCTTAAAATCCTTTGATCATTAGACAAATTGAATCAGTATTCAAATATGTCCTCTGGAAATGTTAGCATTAGATGGTTCCATCGGTGAATTCCACCAAAACATAAAAATCCAGTTCTAATATTACATAAATGTTGCCAGAGAATAAAGAGGAAACACGTCCCCACCTTTTTTCATGACCTCAAATAAGTTTATGCAAGATGTGAAAGGAAAATTACAAGCCACTATGATTCATAAGTATAGATACCAAAGTCCTAAATAACCAAATCTAAATTTCCAAACTGGGTTTTCACCAGGAATACAAAGTCAATTGAACATTAGAAAACCATTCAACACATTGACAAAGTAAAGCAAAAAAAGATCGATGTGCATGAAGCACTATCACAACCGAACATTTGTCCTAATTTAAAATAAACAAAACCCACTTAGCTAACAAACCATAGGAAAAAAATATACCTTAGCTGGAGTATCCACCAGAACCCCACAGAAAATATTACTCCTTAATAACAAAACACTGAAACTTTCCTTTTGGTACTGAGAACCAGGCAGGAATGCCTGCATTTGCCATTTCTTGTTGACATTGTACTGGAAGTCCTATCTAGTGTACTCATGTAAAAAAAAATTACAGTAGAAGAGAGGAAACAAACCTATTATTATTCAGAGATAATATGAATGTATACACAGAAAGTCCAAAATAATCTGAGGATAAATTATTAAATAAGGCTTTCACAAGATTACCAAATATTAAAACAAAATACCAAAACCAGCATTTCTATACACCAGCAGCAGACCCCATGTGCACTCCATACAGACACAGAAGAACCTAGGATAACCTCTGTAAGAAGTGCACCGACCTTGCTGGGAATCACCATCTGATTCCTTGAGGGTTTGCCTTTGTGAGAGCTTGTGCTCCTCTGTGGCTTTCCATACTCTTTCCTTGCTATGCACACTTAATGTTTTCACTGTAACAAGCCGTGCAGAGGTTCTTTTCTGGTCTTGTCTGCTTATTCTCAAAGTCTCTTGTACCTGAATAGCCATCTCCTTCCCAAGATTTGGGGAAATTTCTGCTACTATTTTGTTGAATATATTTTGCATGCCTTTAGTTCACACCTCCAATTCTACACCCATAATTTGTAGGTATTGACTTTTAGTGGTGTCCCAAGACCCCATTTGTTTGGTTCATACATTTTTGTTTCAATTGTCTCATCTACCTTCCCTTCAAGTTCTCATAGTCTATCTTCTACTTCATCCAGTCTATGGAGGAGGCTTTCCACTGAGTATTTTATTTGATTCATTGAAATTTTCAATTTCAAAATTTTAATTTAGCTTTTTTCAGAATCTGTATCTCTCTCATATCTTATGTTATCTTCTTTAGTTCATTTAGCTATTTATTTATTATTCTCTTTGAGTGCATTTAGGTATTTACTCATGTACTCTGATTTTGTTGCTCATTCTTATAATTATTCCTTTGAATTCTTTGTCTGGGATTTCATTCACTTCACTGTTGTTAGTATCCATTATTGTGGAATTGCTGATTTTTGGAGGAGTCATGCTGCCTTGTTTTTTTCCATATTTCTTGTGTTTCTATGTTGGGATTTGCACATCTAGGGCCAAATTGTTGGTTGGTGGCTTTAGTCTCCTATGTACTTTCAGTTGAAGTATACACAATGTGTGTGCAGGATTGGATACTAAACAAGGTGGAGGTGCAGTTTTTCACCACTGGAATGAGGGTGTAGCTCAGCAGACAAACACTCACCCACCATGCTCAAGACACCTGTGCCAATCCCAGCAGTACTCAGAGAGAAGTAAACTAGCTTAATTAATCTCATGGTATTCTTTATGTATCATGGAAAACTCAAATATCAGCAGCCCAACTGTCCTCCGCATTTATTGTACTCTTACAAAGAATAAAAATCATTAACCCTAGAATAATTTTTCTTAAGTTTCACCCTTGCCATTTTGTGTGTCTTTCCACTTACTGCTCAAAAAATAGGACTTACTGTGTTATACACTCCTTCAATAGTTTCTGGTCCTTCAGTGGATTTAGCCAATACTTTCAGCTTTCCAGGTGAACCTTTCTCCAACTGTTGGATCTAGTAAGGATAAATAAAATAGTGATTCCATTTGAGGTGACAGAAAACAAATGAATCTGAGTGTATACACGTATGTAAGCATGCTTGTGTGTGGGGGCAGGGTAAATGTGTACTTGAGGTCTTATGACAAGGCAGACATTGAGAGGAGACCTGGCACATGCTATACTTTATAGAGGTAGAAATACGTTGATGGGTTAATTGAGACTTGGGGCAGCACAATATGAGAAATGAAAGGAGGTTTCCAAGGTGCTGGCTTAGTAAATTGTATAGACTGTGCTACCACTTGCTGAGTACTGAGATGGGCAAGAGAGATTAGTAGGTATCTAGGCAGTTTAAATTTTGTCTTGTTAAATTTTAATGCTTATGAGGGACCCAAGTGGTGATATCTATCTTCTAGGCAGTTGTTGTGAACTAGTATGGAGTTCAGGAGTGATTTCTCACCAGAAGCTATAATTCTGACAGCCAGCCATCAGCATTCGGATAAGACTTAAAGCTATTGACCTAAAGAAGATCATGCAGGTGACAGGCTCAGTAAAGAGAGGGGAGCAGCACACAAACTAATTGGCACAGTGTCTGTCGGTGGAGTAGGTGTGGACAGAAAGAACCACAAACTGTGGGGCCACAGAAGCTGGAAGAAGAGTACTTCAAACAGAGAAATCTTAATTTCACTGCATGCTGTGAGAGCCCCAGTAAGATGAGGGCAGAAATATGACCACGGGACTTCCTGACAGGTAGTGTCAGAGAAGAGGGAGCGATGGCAGTAGCAGAGCATCTGCTACCAGTGAAAAGGAGGCAAGGAATCAGAAGCAGAGTACATTGAAGGGTTTTTACAGTCAGAACAGCAGAGAGGCCTCGTTTATTTAAAGATGAGATGTACTAGAGAGTAAGAGGAAAGAAGACAAACTGAAGATGGGGTGTCCTTGGAAAGGAGAGAAACTGTGAGAGAAGATGGATGGGGGGGACTCAGCCTTGAGAAGAGCAAGGACACCTCCTCCAACATCCAGAGGAGGGGACATGTGAAGTTACTTTTGTACATTTGGGAGTGAGTTTATGCTTTTAACACTATTTGAGAGCAGACGAATTTATCTAATGAAATGAAAGCAAGGAGGGGTAAAACTGAGAAGTTAAAGAGAGAGTAAGGAAGAAAATAAAAGGAATTCCAAATGTCAATCAGACTTACCATCATAGGGATAAATTTTCTTAAGAACTTAACACCATGTTGTTCCATGTAGGACCCCACTTTCTCTGCCATTTCTTGATCAAAGCCACGAAGGAGGACTGAACGCACCATGACGGTGACATCTAAGCCAAAGCCAGCGAGGAATCCAGCACACTCCAGCGCGACGTAAGAGGCGCCCACCACTAATGTTTTGCCAGGGCAGTGAGGCAGAGAAAAGAGATCATCGCTGAAAGACAAGATGAAAAGAAGAAAGCCTGGGCAATGGTTGGTGTCTGAATGAAGAACCCTTAAAAGAAACAACCTTTGCAAGTTTGTCCTTGAGTTTACTGTGGGGAGAATGCAGAGAAGGAAGCCTACCTCAGGTTTTTCAGAATCAAATTAGATCACAAGCAAACTATTCAAAACAGAAAATAGAACAAAATGCTATACTGATAAGAAGAAAATCTGCTGTTTGTTTTGGAGGAGTGTGTGTTTGTGGTGTGTGTGTATGTGTGTGTTCACCCAAACAACAGTGCAATGAAAAATGTATTTCTCACCAGGACTCTGCTCAGAAAATCTGCAGACATTATATGGACTTATTCCATATGTTATTTAACCGTCCTGGGGAAATGCTGTCACCCATCAGTTTTAAGAAGAGCCCTGTTCTTCCTGACCATCTGGTTTGTTTTTACCCTTGGACACTAAAGCCTAAAGCTAATGGTATTTACGCCTTTCCTTTGGCCTGTGGCAAGTTTAGAGCAAAATTCCCAGGTAATTTCCAGCAATTACCTAGAAACTGCATTTTTTCAGCAAAAACTTTACCACTGATCTTATTTACCTAATCCTATTTTCTCTTTGTGTCATTACTTTATTTAGTGTCTTGTATCACACTCACTTCTGTCATCAAACTTCTGTGGAGTAAGTCAGGGAGCAAATAAATATAAACGTGCAATTTTTAAAGTTAAGATGGTCTAGTTACTCTTACCTGGTGACACAGTGTTCTTTATCTCCTGCGATTCCTAAGTAGCGTGGCCTTTCACCTGTTGCTATCACAAATTTTGCAGCAGTGTAATAATTTTCCTGTCCTTTTTTATTGGTTGCCTTGAAGAAAGCAAAGTAAGCATCATTTATTCAATAAACACTAGAGAATCAGACACCCTGGGCAAAAAGCTCCATCCTTATGGGGCTACTCATTCAAAGGAATAACACATGTGCAAAACACAACAGTGCAATGTGACACACTCCACCACAGAACATAGACGTCTGATAGTGCAATGAGACACACACCACCACAGAACACAGACGTCTTCATAAGACGGTAATCAAGGCACCATCATGGGGGTCAGGCAGCAGGGCAGAAAGCCAGTCAGGGATGCCTTCAAATGGGGATGAGGAAGGTGAGATGATGGAGAGGAGTGGAGCCTGGAAGAGAGCAGCAGGCAGGCCCACGAAGAGCTGGGTTTGGGGAACAGCAAGTGGCCAAAAGCACTGGAGAGCAGGGTCGTTTTGGAGGTGAAATGAACAGACTCTAGGCATCAGGGAAGCCCTCGTGCCATGCTAGAAGTTTAGGCTATGGGGAACCAACAGTGGTTGTTCCCCATACTGCAGAAACACTCAAATACCAACAACAGTAACCAAGTCTGTTGGCAGGATCAGTGGATGGAGGGCAGGCAGCCCAGAGCCAGGGCCTGCCCAGGAGGGTCCTGACAGACAGCAAGGCAGGCTGCGGGTGGAGGGGAAGAGCCTGATCTGAGTTGGCGACTGGGGAGTCACTGATTCCCTACATGAGGCCCCACAGAGGAAAAGCATTTGGCTGGGGAATAACTGGCTTGTTCAACCTTCAGTGCCTGGCAAATTGCAGTTTGAGAAATAAAACTAACTTGCATTTCTGCCTCGTTTCTTGTGAACAATGGAATTCAGACTGACCCAGAAAGATGCAAATGGGCAGTGTTAAATGGACCACCTCACACCTTCTGAGTGAGGTGTCACTGACTACAAAATCATCTAAACCTTCTCAAGATGACCTCAGACTGTGCTCCAAAGCCAAATACGCAGATAAACCAGCTGCTGAGGATAACAGCTGACTGTCTCTTATAACTCCAATGGAACATGCTTGTGTTCATCAAAACGATCCCTACCGTTAGTCTTGTAATGTAAGAACCTTACAAACACATGAAATACACTAATTCTGGGCTGCTTTTGTCAATGCTCTGTGAACAGCATATGCTGGCACTGTAGTGAAGATTTCATTTAAAAAGGATTGCACTGCTAATATTTTTTTAGCCTTTTGAACTTCAAACTGTTTAAACATTTTCTCTTTTAAGATGCCAATGAAATCAAAGGTCTTCAATTTAGTCAGTCGTGTAATCAACAAACAATGGAGGAAGTGCACCTGTATGAGGCCGGTGTGTGCTGTGTGTGTGTCTGTGTGTGTGTGAGTGTGCATGTGTGTGTGAGTATGCGTGTGTGAGTGTGTGTATATATGTGTACGCCTGTGCATGTGCTTGTGTTAGCTACAGTCCTTAACGTACAACACAGATTTTAGCTCAGGGCAAGTTCAAACAGTAGTAAGGAAAGGCAACGAACAAGACAAGACATTCAGACATTACCTTTATTTTATGAGGTTCAACAAATTCTCCATAGGAATTGACGTAAGCCACTCCTTTCTCCCTCAAAGACAACCTATAGCCCCAGTTCAGAGAGCTGATATGGTTCTGGATTGCTTCTGTCATGGCCTCCCAGTTGTGCTTCACTAGAAACAACCAGGGTAAAGGCATAAAGTGAATTTTACTTTTTTTCTTTTTATGAGACAGGTTCTCATTATGTAGCCTAGGCTGGCCTCAAACTCAAGATCCTCATGCCTTGCTCTACTGCATGCTGGGATTGCAGGTGTGTACTACCATGCCTGGTTGGTGCAATTTAATGCAAATTATATATACTCACACATGAGCCATAATACCATTATTTAACTTAACCCAAGCTTAACTTTGTATGCCTGCTACAGTTTGTACCTCTTGCTATTCCATGATCAAAGCATTTGTAAGGATCAGTTCTGCAGAGATAATGGGGGAGGCCACGGAGGAGAGCGTGGTCTTGCATGGCAACCAATGCCCACCACATAAGGAAGAGGACGGCTTCTAGCAGGAGCACCTCCTAGATCCTTCCCGCTCCATGGGGCCTGCTTCACTGGGACGTGGGTGGGAAGGAGGCCTCAAGTTAGCGAGTGTGGGACACTCACCTTGCCAGAGTGGCCTGGTTCCACCACATTTGGTTTGCTGGGTGACTGAAGCCTTCATGACTGTGAATATCTCTTTCTTGCCCCTGCCCCCTTTTTTAAATTTTCTCTGGTGTTGGGGATGGAACCCTGGGCCTCACGCATGCAAGGTAAGCACTCCATCACTGATCTACATGGCACAGAAAAGGTGCTCACGCTCACTGTTGCTAAATGTTCATCTTACAGTATCTACCCATTCCTTCTGACATGGATACGATCAATTGCTGGTGTTCCCCATCCTCCCTGTATGGGATTTATCACAGTGTTCATCTTGTCACTGGCTCTGGATCCTGAGGTCACACCACCTCTAGCATAGCAGCTCCATGTTTGTAAGGCACAGAGGCCAGCAGAGAACTGGCATAAGCAGCAGCAACCTGAGGTGCTGGACACTCGTCCCATCTCCCATTCTCAAGAAGTCCCCCCACCCATACTGTACACAAAGGGAAGAGACCTAGAACGATGTCCAGTGCACAAAGGGGTGTAGCCAGTGTAAACTTTCCTGGCCTCTCCTATGACACCAAGAGACCCTAGGATTGCACAACCTGGCACAGTCACTTTCACTGCCTCATTCCCTACTCCCCCACCTCACGACGCAGCGTCTCTCCACCATGCCCATGGCACACACAGACCCTAAGCTACCTCTTCCCCAGCCCCAAAAGAGCTTTTCTCCAGCCTTGAAGAACCTGAGGGTTCACCTCACAGGCTCTGTGTGCCTTGGTTTCTTGTTCTCATTGTAAGACACTCTCCGCTAGCACTTCCCAAGCACGCTGCACAACTAGCTCTCCTGTGAGAATTGGTGAGGCATGCAGAGGAGTGGGACCCAGAACTCTGGGAAGCTCCCCAGGGACCGAGGTGCCAAGTCCATGGCTCGCATTTGCAGCCTTTGGACCACTGTGGATCTCTCATCCCACAACAGCGTCACACTTTAAACATGATGGGGAAAGTCAGTCTACACCCAGAGGTGGCTTAGCTGTCCGCACACGTTTATTTTCAATATGAAGTCTAGAATGATTACTTAAGCCTCAAAAAGAAAAAGATCTAAGATTATTCCTGGACTTAAATAATATTTACAAGTTAATCTTGAGATAAATAATGTCTTCACAATGTTGAGATGTGACCTCTAAAATCACAGTGTATTACGTGTTTACATTCTTTCCTCATATGTCCTGTGTAGTCCTGGTTAAAGTTACTCAAGGTACTCCCTCACGGAGGTAAGAAATGCCTTGATTATTACACAGTTATAAGTACTCAGCTTCCTGAACTAATTACCTCCAATATTTCTTAATTTAATCTCATATATTCTAGGTTTATTGTACATAATCTTTGTTTGCTTTTGGTGTTTTGAATTCAGGGCCTCACATTTGCTAGACAGACACTCCACCAACTTAAGCCCCTATCTTTTTTTTGGTTTAGTTATTTTTTGGATAGGGTCTCACTTTTTGCCTGGCTGACAGCAGGCTGAAATTCTCATACCTACACCTCCTACATACATCCTGGGGTGACAGGCATGCACCAACATGCCCACCTTGTTTGCTGAGATGGGGACTCACTAATTTTTCCTCTGAGCTGGCCTCCAGCTGCAATCCTCCCAATCTCTCCTTCCAAGTGACTGGAATTACAAGCATGTGCCACCATGCCCAGCCTTATGATTCTTGTTTAAAACTTCTTTTTATGACTCCTTTCAAACACATGCCCTTTCTGTCCTGGTCATCCTCTATGTGCAATGGCCAGAGGCTCTACAGTGATGTAATGGGCAGCGCTGACTCTGAATTTAACTGAAGACCTCAAGTTCTTCTCCATTAACTATTTGTTCAGCATGCAAGACCAGTTTTGAACATCGCCTGACTCTCCAAATGAGGACTACGGTGTGAACAAACATCTGGGCTGACTTCTCTTTGCAGAACGGACAAGGTTAAGAAAGCCAGAACCTCATGCATTGTAATATATACATGGAAATGTCACAAGGAAATTCCCTGTGTAGCTATCTTAAACAAACAAAAATGTCATTTTTTTTCTTTTGCAAAATTGGAGAACAGGAGGGCAGAACAGGTCCTGTCTGTGGTGTTGGTACCAGTGGGAGTGGGGAGGAGGTGGGGAAAGGGTGTGGGAAGGTGAATATGGTACAAATACTGTGTATACATGTATGTAAATGGAAAAATGATACCTGTTGAAACTGTTCCAGGAATGGGAGTGGGGGATAAATGAGAGTGGTGGAGGGGGTGAATTCAAGTATGATATATTTGATACATTGGAAGAACTTTTGTAAATGCCACAATGTACTCCTACCCTATAAGAAAAAAAAAAATCCAGAATCTCCAGCTGGTATGGACCATGACAGGTTGAATGTCAAGCCACACAGGCTGCCACTGAGGCTTGGGGTTTCCTCCCTTGCTGTAGTTTGATGTTTTTTGTCCCCACAAAAACTCATGACTGCCTTGTGGTGGTACCGGGAAGGGGGACTTGAAGAGGTGGTTATGTCATTAAGAGGGAGTAACGCCTTCTTGGAGTGACTTCTCCATCTCATGGGACTGGATCAGTTACCATAACAGCAGGTTGTTCTAAAGCAAGAGCGCATCTTGTGTGCTGTCTCTTCTGCAGTGCCCACTTGCCCTTGCACCGGGAGCCCCCCACCAGAAGCTGAGCAGATGCTAGTGCTGTGCTCTTGGACTGTCCAGTCTCCAGAACCAACAGATGAAATGAACCTGTTCTTTAGCAACGACCCCGTCTTGGGAGTCTGCTATAGCAACAGGAAATGGAAGGAGAAATGTCAAAAGAAAGATTACGTGCAATACACCTAGAATATATGAGATTAAACTAAGAAATATTAGAATTAATTAGATCAGGGAGTTAAGTACTTGTAAGATAAATGTGTAATATGACATTCCTTACTATCAGCCATAAGACAAAAACATAATCAAAAATTGCAACAAAAATGACAGTTATATTTCTTTTCTCACAGGTAGTGTTACTGAACTCAATTATTTTAAAAAGATTCCTTAAATGCCTGCCGAATGAAAATGTACATATCCAAATCCCACTCCATTTAGCCTTTCTGTGGCATTTGACTCATTAGTTCTCTTGTTGGACTCCCCAAGTCCTAAGTCTTGCCCTGAAAAAATCAAATCCCTCCTGGCTTCTGTGACGTAACTTGTGGCTTTCCTCCTCTTCCTCATGCACTTACCTGGGTCTTAACACATCTAAGCGCTCAGCCTCTGTTTTCTATTCTTATCCTTCTATATACTCTCCTCAGATCCTCAGACTCTAACTACCCCATATGCTGTGACTCTAAATCCCACCCTTGTCCAGCCCTCTCTCAAGTACAAACCTTCCCCACATGGCTGACCACCCAGGAAGTTCCAAAGCCACCTTTGGTGGACTTTCCACGCAAGACAAGGGATACAGAGAGAAGGAGGATTCTTCTTTTAACCCCTCCAGTGCTGGAGATAGAACCCAGGGCCTTGGGCACGCTAGGCAAGCGCTCTACCACTGAGCGAGGGCCCCAGCCCCAAGGAGGAGGATTCTGAAGGGGAGAAGACCATCAGGAAGTTACCCTGCAAGGCGGAAAGGGCTGGTTTTATCTGCAAGTAGTTGATGTTAGTTTGACTAGCTGCAAGTGTCCAGCCTGACCTCCACCAGGCCCAGCCACAAACCCAAGCCTGCCTGTGCTGTCTCAGTGAGCTGTGCTGTCCGTTCACGCAGTGCCTCCTCCTGATTCCTTCCTCCCTCTCCTTCTCTACCTTATTGGGATCAGGATGGTCACTGTCACCTGGATCAGCATCACACTCACCCATGACACTCTAGACAGGCCTTACCCAAATGTAGCACACCAAAATTCCGGGGAGACAAGTCACCTGTGACATTTTAGAAACTCCACAAGGTTCTGATACACATCCAAGATGGAGAAACACTCGTAGCTGGTCACCACATCTAATCTCTCCTATACATTTCACTTCCCCAAATTCACCCATGCTCAGCCTGACTTCCCTGTTCTGGCCTGTCATTCCTTGCCACCGCCTTCCCTCCTTCTATGTTCCTCGGGGTCAAGAGGGATCCAGAATCCACCCTGTGGCTTGTGCTCCTCTCCTGCTTGACCTCCTTATGGCTCTGCTACCTCTGGGGTAAAATCTCCCTCCTTAAAATGGCATTTCAGGGCCTTCGTGACAGGCCTCACTCTCTAAATTTATTTCTCCCACACCCCTTACCCATTCTTTTCCCCAGTCACTCCCTGTGCCCCACACACACCGCGTGGTTTTCTCATGTCTGTGTAGTTATGGTCGAGCTGCTCCTGGTCCTAAATGTCCTACTTCTGTGTGGACTTCAAGATGCAGTTCAAGCTGCCATGGTGGCACACACCCATAGTCCCAGCTACTGGGGAGGCTGACTCTCTGCCCCCCACAAGGCGGCATTAAGTACCCCTCAAGTCAACACTCTGTTACTGCACGGCACTGATGGACACCCTGTCTCTCTCCCAACAGAGTTTGTGTGCTCACTCAGCACATCTGCAGCTTCAGAACCAATTAGTGGTTATTGAAATGAGTTTGTTTCCCAGCTTTCATTAACCAAAGAGACACACTCTCCAATAAAACAGGAAATATTATCACGATGACAGACAAAGTTCAAACAATAACCCTTGGCACACTATTTTCACACTTGAAAGAAAATCTGAAATCAGCGATCATTATCTCACATTCTGTGAAAGTCTGGAATTCTTACAACTCCTAAGCAGGAGGCCCACGAGAGCAGAGGCACCTTTGCAGCCTCTGGGCCTGGCTGGCTCACGGTGGGCCCCTGACCAATGTCCACCAAATGAACATCAAGCTCAAGTCTCTAGGAACCCATCTTTCTTCTTCCTCCCAGCCTGCACTTCATACACCTTTACGCACCTTGTTGACTGTAGTCCCAGCCAAATTTCCTTGAGTCCTGCAAGGCTTGCCCTAAGAGGGCAGCTTGATGCATCAGTTTCTTAGGAATACAGCCCACATTAACACAGGTTCCACCCAGACCTGAGAAAGAAAGCAACAGTTTGAATGTTTCCTCTGTGTGTGTATGTGTGTGTGCGTGTGTGTTTCCACACATCTGCAAGTGCTAGTATAACATGTGGAAATGACAAACTTGAATGGTGGCCAGGGACGCCCCACCATGAGATGTAAGTGAGACACAAACTCTCTAACATGGAGTCTGCAGAGAAGATCCAACGTGGAGCAAAAGCACGGATGTGCCCGTGAAGTTTTCTGGAGGCAGGTCCAAACCTCTCCCTGCATGTGGGGCAGAAAGGGCTGAGAACTGCATTGGATCCTGAAGTGCACCCCACACCGGGGTCAGAACCTCAGCTTCCAGTCTTTCCCTCTCTGGAACTCTGACTCCTCTGAGCAAGTCAAGCACACAAGTGGCCTGGTGACACTGAATCAGAAAATGAACACACAAATGGTTGGCCCCACCCTTTGAAGCTAGAGTCAGGGATTCCCTCTGGGACTGCAGTCTCTTTGGGTCCTCCAGATAAGCAGGGTGATTTCTGTACAGGAAAGGGAGAATGAGAAGAGAAAAAGAGGGACGGGCAAGTGGAGGGGATAGCTGTATACACACTCAAGAATATCAGAAGGAAAACCAAGGATTGTTTTTCTCTATGAAATTCTAGGCTAAAGCTTTTTGAATTATCATGAATTTTCAAGACAGATTTTCAAGCTTCCCCCATCAGGGCTGTCAGGAAAGGAAAGTTATTTTTAGGACAGTAGATAGTTACTTCAGGAATTAGTAGGAAGAGCACAGAGAGAAAGCAGTACCCCAAGCTAGTGACAGCAGGGATCACTGGCAGCCCCATGTGAAGGACAACGAGCCTGAGTAAGTGCTGGGACCCAGAGGGAGGCCTCTGACAGCACGTGACCTTCCGCAGGAGGGGACCCAGGAAAAGGGACACTGCTCCTCTCCTCTGTCCTCTCCACTCCCATGACTCCAAACTGGCTGAGAGCCCAGCTGGAAACCACAGGGTGAGTGGGCAACTGGTCAGTCTTCAGGGGCAGAGATGGAAGGGGGTGCATCTGAAGCCTAGACAGAGAAATCCAGCACAAAATCTGTACCTCTGCCTCACTGAGAAGAAAACAGAAACACGGCAAGGTGAGCACTCTGGCCTGCAGCACGGGGCAGTCGCAGAGCTGGGACCTTGCCCTGAGGCCTGAGGCATGACGCCATCCTCTGCTGTGCAGCCACTGCCCTCAGCCATGAAACAGATGCAGAAACTCAGACAGACGTCGATGTGGCCAGGACGCGGTATAAACACTGGGACAACGTGAGCACACGTAGGCAGGAAACTATGACACAAGTGCTGGAACGTGGGTCATGGCATCTTCTTTCTTTTTGCAAGGGTTTCCTTAATTACTTCTATATTATCCCTCCAGTGTCACCACCTGTTAACTATGACCTGAGAGACTCAGGTCTCCTCATCTGAGGAACAGACTGCACAGCCTCTTGATAGTGCAGGGGTTAAATGACATGACATAACAGCAGTGCAGGTAAAGAGCAAAGAACAACAAAGAAAAGCAGCTTACCCCAGGATGAGCCCTGAGGCGATGGGACCACAAAGTCTAGCACCATTACCTTCTTTCCCAAAATGGCAGCTTCCTACAAAAAACAACTACGTATAAAGATCTTGTCATTTTTTCACCCCCGATTTTTCGCTCCTTTAAATGAGGTCTGTTTTTGTGAGACAGCACAGTCTTTCCCTAAATTAAATCAGTTATTATAATAAAAGCTTAGACTGTAACATTAAAATTAGCTTTTTAAAAAGTCAAGTATGAGGTTCATTTCCGTGTGCCTACCTTCGCACAAGAGAGGCCCCCAGAACCACCACCAATGACAATGAGATCGTAATCGTGTGTATCCTCCTGAAGGAGCTTCTGCAACAAACCGTTCTGATGTGCCTTCACCAAGAGGAGAGAGTATCACAGAGTTAAAGTTCTAAAACTGTTTATTTTCACTCAATGTGCAATCACCACGGAGCTCTTTTACTAAAAAATCTGAGAAGCTACTTGATAAACATCTAAATTATCCAAAGAGCATCCAACTCGTCAGAACTTACGTCAAAGTACACCCACTGCCGGCCATTTTGCCCTGGCAACTGATAGCTAGAATGTGTCAAAGGACCTGGAGGGTGTGTCTGTGTCCTTGGTTGGTCCAAATATGACAGTCAAGTGCAGTATCACTTTTGGGGATCCTTGTTCTCCTGTGCTAGTCTTCCTTTTATAAGCAACTCCTATGAATCATTAGTAATTTTTCACAATCTCTCATAAATTGATCTAAATTTTGTAGCTGGGCTGGTGATCTTTCTAAACAGACAAAGGCATTGCTGCTTCTTTCTTCAATAGTGTGACCTTGGCTCTGGGCCATAGTCCCTTGCTCATTCGGCCTCTTGGTGAGCAGAAGTAGTTAGATGAGGTCAGAGGTAATATGTGGCCCTGAAGAACAGGTGCCCAAGATGGCTTTTAGAAGTCCTGCAAGGACTCCACGGCCTCCTTTCTTAGATGCGCCTGGGGAAACCTTTCTCCTACAGGTCTACCTCCCGAGGAAAAGTCTTTCCGTCCTGAGAGAGCTTGGCTACCTCTGTATCTCCAGATCCTGCCCCGCCTCAGTTCCCAGCTCAGGACTATGGGGCCAGTGCTTCAGGAAGTGTTTGGGGGCTGCAGTTACAGCGCCTGCCACCCTGCTCTCGTCTATAGAACATATAGACCAGAGGTTCACATTCAATGCAGGCAATCTGTTTTCCCCAACCAAATTATAAGTCTTAATGAAAATTTCAAGTAAGTAACTAGTCAATCACTGGATGCTAACATTTGCATATTTATAAAGGATAAAATGGAACAGAATTTTAGTAAAAATAAATAATTAGAATTAGAACCTAATTTAACAGACATCAATTTGGGGGAGAGGCTGCTGTGGATCAAATTCAGGGCTTCACACGTGCTAGTTGAGCACCCTACCACAGACCTTTCGGTCTGACGCTACCTGACTGAATGACTCTGAACTAAAAGCCTTCTGCACACACCCCAGTGTCAGCAGCCTTGATGGGATTCTGATTACCCTGGACAAAAGCACCGACGTTTACTGGGGAGCGGCCTCATTTCTCTCCCTGTTAGAAGAGACTCTGTGGCCCACCTGTGGGGTCTAGTAATTGCCCTCAAAAGCTGTCTCCTCCTCAGCCTCTCAAGTTCAGTAGGTAGAAAAGCTCGTTTTCCTTAAAGTCATCAAGATTATCAGAGAGCCACTCTATCTGCCTTTCCACTTTACAACTTCCAGAAGACAAAGAAATCACCTCCTAAAAACCATTTTCTCTCCCTTGACACTTTTGTACACAAAATGTGAACAAGCAGCATTCAAGAATATACACTATGCTTACCTGCAGAGTTTGGTCACATCCACCCACGTGTACTTTATTCACAAAAATATTGGGCACGGTTTTCTGATTAGTGATTTCTGACAGCACTTCTTGAACACTGGCCCCATCATCTAAAAAAATTATACAAAACACTGTAAAGAGCGCCCAAGCTTTGTGACTTGAACTAAATGTTACAATCCTCAAATGCTCATGAGTAGACCCCCACAAGAGGCCAGGTGCTCTGTAACTTGTGAAATGATGACCAGATGGTAAATACCCATGCTTTCAGAGGAACCCTTAAAAATGAAGACCAATCTACAGATTCCTAAGGCCTTCTAAATTAGCCTTTGGGCTATCATTCAATGACTGCAAGAAGGGATAAGAACTCTCCTACAAGAGCCAATGTCAAGACAACGTCTGCTGCAACAATAGCTTAGGAAACACTCACAATTTTCCATTACTACATTTAAAATTTTTATGAGCACAGTCCAAAATTTATCCTCTATCCCTGAAAATAAAACTGGGCTATGACTACTTAAAAGTGCCTTGTGTGGTAGACTTTTAGAGCCATCTCAAAGATTCGAAATTATTTCCTTTCCTGAGGTGACTTGGCTACAACAAGCCAATGCCATGAAAGGGAGATGAACTGATTTCTGATCACCACCAGGTCCCCGCCCCAGCAAAGGACCCCAGCTATAAGGTGTTCAGTGGGTATCAGAGGCATAGATGACAAGGGTTGAAAAACATAACCCTAAAAACTTAACGTGCTCTCCCTGAGGGAAGGAACACAGTCAGGAAACAGAAGGGCATTCCTTTCATTTATTACAGCTTAATCTACTTTGCTAGAAAGTTGACAGACACATCTGAAACTTCTCAAATAGCACTTTGTAAAACTCCCCCCCACTCTATTCCTTTTAATATGAAAAACATACAAATGTGAAAACCTACACCAAACTGTTATGGAAGGGTTTGTTTCTATATGTTTGAATAAAGAAAAAATGGTTCATCTAACACAGAGACCAGAGTAAATTGAGTTGAACAAGTAAATGGAAAAAAGTCAATCATTTGGTATTTTATAAACAACACTATGTACTGTCTACTTACCAACTTGATCAAGTTCCAAGATTTTATAGTCAACTCCCAAAGAAGAAAAGAGTTCTTTAACCTGTAACAGAAATTTGCCTGAGTTTCACTCTTGTGAAATGTGGCCACAGAGAAGGACACATCCAGAATGAACGCCCTTCAGGAATTTGAGCTCTTTTCAGTCTCTACCTCCTTGTGATTCCCAAGTCTCCTTTCTGGACTCAAGTCAGAAACTTGGTGTCCCAGTGGCATCATGCTCCAAATGCAATGCATCTTCTTCCACACACCACTTCCTGTTCTGCATTTCCCTCATCAGTCATTAACTCATCTGACCTCTCTATCCATCAGATACCTAGGATGGGTCATTCACTGTTCTAAATCTGTGAGATACAATGAACAGGACTCAATCTCTTCCCTCTAGAAGCAGAAATAGACAAGTGTTTGCCAGTTGCTCCTCAACTGTGTGGCATTTTACTTGTCCTTGCCCAAGCTACTTCCCAGTGTTTCCCAGTGCTGCATGGGGGAAAGCAGTGACCTGGGTTCCAGCTTCCTTCCACGAGGTGAAGCAATTAGTGAGAACCAAATTGTACCATTCTAACACTCTAAGAACTAGGAATAAAGGGAAACTACCTCAACAAATTAAATCAATATATGAAAATCCCACAGCTAACATAATACTTGATGGTAAAAGACTAATACTGTTTCCTCTGAGATCAAGAAGGAGACAAGCAAGCCTGCTTTACCACTTCCATTTCAACATAGTACTGGAAGTCCTAGCCAGAGCAATAAGGCAAGAAAAAGGAATAAAATGTATCCAACTTGGAAAGGAAGTAAAGTTATCTCTGTTTATAGACAACATGAACTTATATGTAGAAAACCCTAAGGATTCCACAAACACAAGAATATCAAAACTGGAAGAATAAGCAAATTCAACAACACTGCAGGATATAATACCAACACATGAAAAATTAGTCAATTTTCCATATATTAACAATGAATGATTCAAAAATGAATTAGGAAAAATTTAATTAACAATAAAAATTGTTTAGGAATAAATGTAACCAAGGAAACAAAAGACTTGTACACTAAAAACTGTACAATATTGGCTGAGAAAAATTAAAGGCGATATCAATAATTAGAAAGAAATCTTACATTCATGGATTAAAAGACATTTTATTGTCAATAGTACCCAAAGTAATCTACAGATTCAATTCCATCCCTATCAAAATTCTGATGGTGTTTTTTGCAGAAGTAGAAAAATATTTCTAAAATTCAGATGGACTCTCCGAGGAGCCTTGTATAGCCAAACAACCTTAAAAATCAGAGTTGGAGATACCATGCTTCCTGATTTCAAAACTTAATGCAAAGTTATCATAATCAAAACAGAGTGGTAGTAGTATAAATAAAGACATATAGACCAATGGAAGAAAATGGAAATCTCAGAAACAAAGCATTACATATGTGGTCAAATGATTTTTGACAAGAGTGCCAGTGGCATTCAACAGGGAAAGAATAGTCTTTTCAACAAATGATGCTCGGAAAACTGATTATCCACATGCAAAAAAATGAAAGTGGACCATTCCTGGACACCATAAACAGTCTGATCCACTAACTCAAAGTGGATCAAAGACTAAATGTAAGAACTGAACCTATAAAACTCTTAGAAGAAAACACAGCGCAAAAGTCATGATGTTGTGGGGTACAGGGGAGCCACTCCAGGGGCTCTTGTCTTCACTGGGTTTAGGAATAAGCTCAAGAGACATGGATAGTGCACACACAGGTAGATTACAAAAAGAGAAGGCTGCAGGTAGAGCAGTGCAGCGGAGCCCAGAAACCGGTGGCTCTCTGCTGAGGTGAAGGCTGGGGCTTTTTATGGACACTTTAACTCTGGGTTAGGGTAAGGGTTAGGTGGGTTCTTTCATTGGTTGCACAGGCTCTCTTCCATGAGCTGATCTGTTTGCCCCTTACTGGGGGGAAACAACCTTGAGAGCATTTTGTTTATCAGCCCTGTGGCAGATATATGAGACTATGTATCGCCTCCTCAGGGTACAGGGCTCATAGAGCTCTTCATGGAGGGATGGGCTACTGACTCACTCATCTGTCCCTTAGGTTCCCAGACCCTGATTCATGGACGTAACACCAAAGGCACAAGCAACAAGAAAGTAGACAACATAAGCCTCATAAAAATTTAAAACTTTTGTACATCAAAGGACACTATCAACTATGTGAATAGACAACTCAAAGAATTGAAGAGATTATTTGCAAATCTCATGTCTAAAGGATTACTATCTACATTATATAGAAAAACTACTAAAATTCAGTGATAAAAATTTTAAATCCAATTTAAAAATGGACAAAGTACCTAAATAGACATTTCTTCAAAGAAGATACACAAGTAAGCACATATAAAGATGTTCAACAGCACTAATCTTTGGGGAATGCAAATCAAAACCACAATTAGATACCACTCACATTCATTAAGATAACTACTATTTTTAAAAATCCAGAAAATAAGTGTCGATGAGGATGTGCAGAAACTGGGACCCCTGTGCACTTGTGGTGGGAATGTAAATAGGACAACCACTATGGAAGACAGAGTGACAGTTTCTCAAAGAATTTAAAGTAGAAAAACCTTATGGCCCAGCAATTCCATTTCTAGGTATGCACCTAAAAGAATTCAAAGCAGTGACTCAATAGATATTTGATATTTGTACACTATGCTCACAGTGGCTTCATTCACAATAGCCAAAAGGTAGGAGCCACCCAAGCGTCCACTGGTGCTCAGATAAGCAAAATGTGGTACACACACACACATATGCACTACAACAACCACCACCATCACCATCAGACACCACACACACACCACACCCCCACACCCTCACAACCATTACCATGACCACCAAACACACCCCCCACACCCATCACCATGACCACCAAACACACCCACCCACACCCCCACAACCATCACCATGACACCAAACACACCCACCCACACCCCCACAACCATCACCATGACCACCAAACACACCCCACACACACCCCCACCATGACCACCAAACGCCCCCCCAGACACCCCCACAACCATCACCATGACCACCAAACACACCCCCACAACCATCACCATGACCACCAAACATACCCCACACACACTCCCACAACCTTCACCATGACCACCAAACGCCCCCCCACAGACACCCCCACAACCATCACCATGACCACCAAACACACCCCCCATTCCCACAACCATTACCATGACCACCAAACACACCCACCCACACCCCCAACCATCACCATGACCACCAAACACACCCCCCACACCCATCACCATGTCCACCAAACACACCCCCACACCCCCCACAACCATCACCATGACCACCAAACACACCCCCCACACCCTCACAACCATCACCATGACCACCAAACACATCCCACAACCATCACCATGACCACCAAACACACCCCCCCACCACCCTCACAACCATCACCATGACCACCAAACACATCCCCACAACCATCACCATGACCACCAAACACACCCACACACACCCCCACCATGACCACCAAATGCTCCCCACAGACACCCCCACAACCATCACCATGACCACCAAACACACCCCCCCACACCTCACAACCATCACCATGACCACCAAACACACCCCACAACCATCGCCATGACCAACAAACACACCCCACACACACCCCCACAACCTTCACCATGACCACCAAACGCCTCCCCACAGACACCCCCACAACCTTCACCATGACCACCAAATGCCCCCCACAGACACCCCCACAACCATCACCATGACCACCAAACACACCCCCCATTCCCACAACCATTACCATGACCACCAAACACACCCACCCACACCCCCAACCATCACCATGACCACCAAACACACCCCCCACACCCATCACCATGTCCACCAAACACACCCCCACACCCCCCACAACCATCACCATGACCACCAAACACCCCCCACACCCCCACCACCATCACCATGACCACCAAACACACCCCCACAACCATCACCATGACCACCAAACACACCCCCCCACACACCCTCACAACCATCACCATGACCACCAAACACATCCCCACAACCATCACCATGACCACCAAACACACCCCACACACACCCCCACCATGACCACCAAATGCTCCCCCACAGACACCCCCACAACCATCACCATGACCACCAAACACACCCCCCACACCCTCACAACCATCACCATGACCACCAAACACACCCCCACAACCATCGCCATGACCAACAAACACACCCCACACACACCCCCACAACCTTCACCATGACCACCAAACGCCTCCCCACAGACACCCCACAACCATCACCATGACCACCAAACACACCCCCACCCCCACAACCATTACCATGACCACCAAACACACACCCCACACCCCCCCACAACCATCACCATGACCACCAAACACACCCCCCCACACACCCTCACAACCATCACCATGACCACCAAACACATCCCCACAACCATCACCATGACCACCAAACGCCCCCCCACAGCCTCACAACCATCACCATGACCACCAAACACACCCCCACACACACCCTCACAACCATCACCATGACACCAAACATACCCCCCACCCCCACAACCATTACCATGACCACCAAACACCCCCCTCACACCCCCCAACAACCATTACCACGACTACCAAACACCCGCCCTCACACACACATACACACACACTCACAGACACAAAAGGATTATTATTTATCCTTAAAATGGAAGAAAAAGTTTGACACACAGTCAACATGGATGAACCTTGAAGAGACTAGGCTCAGTGAGGTAAGCCAGGTACAGAAGGCAAATGCTGTATAATTCCCTCTGTGAGGTACCTAGAGAAGTTAATTCACAGAAAGCAGATTGGTGGTTACTAGGTACTAGGAAAGGAGGAAAGGAGGAGTGAAGTGTTTGATGGGTAGAGAATTTCAGTTTGGAAAGACAAAATGTTCTAGAGATGGATGGTGGTAATGGCTGCACAACAATGTGATCAGTGCTTAACATCACTGAACTCCACTTTTAAAAATGGCCAAAATTGTAAATTTTATGTTATGTATTTTACCATGATAATTTTTAAAAGGGCAACTAATGAAAGTATAAAATGTTAATCCATAAATGTAAAAATTCAAGATTGAGGAAATGTGGCTTAAACTTAATGTGGAGAAAGTGTTAAAAATATCAGGGAATCTTTGTTACTATTTAGTTTATGTTATTATCTCATATCTGTCCCTTAACTGTGATTTCCACACAAGTTCAGAGACTTGTACTCTTGGTCTAGTTTCAGCAATGGCCAAATCACATGTCAGGTCCTGCTCACAAGTCTGTGATGACTCTTCTTTGCCATATTATTAAGTCCACGCTTACCCGCAAGCATGTTAAGACCTAATTCACCCCTGAAACCAAACCACTGCAGTTATTCTTCAATGAGTTCTCCAGGTTTCCCTTCACTACCCTATGTTCTGTCAGACTTCTTCCTATATCATCTCCCACCTTTGCTTACACCAATTCCTCAGCTACCTGCTCTTCCCTACCTGCAGACGTCCACTTTACCCATGAGGACCAGCTGACCATCATTTTCTTAGACTTCTCTGATCTTCCACAGAAGCTGCCATCTATCAATCCCCCAGTCCTTGGTTTTCAGACACTCTTCTTTCTGCACATAAGAGTGGGTTGATCCTGTTGATCATAGCTCAAACAGATGGCATTCTTGGGAGGCAAGACCAAGATGAATTCATTTTGATGTCTCCATACCACTCAGCACCCAGTAACTAATTCTTGTTGAGTGACATTAGCAGCCTGGTCAAGGGACAAAGCTCTGATTCTGCAAGGATGTATGTGAAATGTGGCAACCAACTGTGGGTGATACATTTAAAGAGCTCATAAGCAAACTACTGCACAATGAAGTTAGCAAGCTGTCACCTGCAGAGACAGATGTGTATGAACACAGGCTGTTCACAGGCAAGGAAAACACTTGGAAAGTACCAGACGATCTGCCATCCAAGTAGCATCAAGGACCCTCTGTCTGCCTGCTGGAGCAGTGCAAATCCAAGAGTTAGCAAGTGCCTCAGGGAGGCAGATTTTAGTTCACTCTAAAAAATTCCAATGATTAGAGCTGTCTGATTACATAATGGGACTCAAAGTAGTGGCGACATCACAAGAAGTGTTGACACACCCAGGACACAGGCTCCTGTGGCCTATGTTTCTGCACCAGCTGAGACTTTACTAGAATGATCTGAGAGCATTTATTTGTCCAATCACAGTATGTGCCTGCTGCAATGCTAGGCCCCAGTGACACAGCAGAAGATGGACAACATAGCTCTGGTCTCTGGGTGCTTCTACAAACTCTACAAAATACAGACAGAAAAACACCCCAGACACAGATCAACCTATAGGGGAGGACTTGGTTACTGATGAATAAGCATCATACTAACTAACATGGAAAGGACAGGCTCTTCAGGAGAAGAAACTGGCAACTGGTAGTCCTAAGGGAAAACCCAATGGGACCCTCACCCATCGCCAACAACAATTAGGGTACACGAGAGAAGGTGAGTGTGAAAAGCACACTATAAAACTTTCAGGAGTTAAATCAGGAGAATGCCTTCATGGCCACAGAGAATAGAAACAGTCTCCTAAGTAAGACACAAAAAAACCACAAAGCATGAAAGATAAAGAGTGATGGGTTCAACTCATTAAATGTACAAACTTCAGTTGGCTTCAGTTAGGTAAAAGATCCCAGAAAGAGAGGGGGAAAAAAGTCAAATAAACATGTAATATATCTAAAACCAAAGGATTAGTATCCAAAATTTATAAAGAAGAGCTACAAATTAGAGCAACAAAGCAAAAACAATTCCATAGATGAAATCGGGTGCATTCAGGTCGGTATGGTGGTAGACAAAACAATTCAACAGAAAAATAAGCAAAAGACCAGAAACTCACATGACCCTAAATACATGGACTTCAGCAGAAAAATGCAAAATTGACCGAACACTTTATAGCTGCCAGAATGGCAAAAATGAAAGTTATCAAGAGTTACCAAGGCTAGACAGCAAGAGGAATTCTACACACCACCTGGTAGGACAAACCAACATAAATGCATGGAATAGTCAGGCACTGCTCTGTTTATGTGGATGACTTCATGAGTCTCCATGCCCAGCCATTCAGCTTCAAGACATCTACCCTAGAGTAAGTGTCCCTTGGGTACACAGGGAGATGTGTCCAAAGAACAGGCATATAGCCATTTGTTTTTCAGAAGAAAATACTAGAAACAATGAAATGATAGAATGTGGTATGATTCAGTCTAGGGACACTTAATAGCAATGAGACTGAATGAGGCATAGCTACAGGTGCCAACATGCATGAGACTCTAAACCATACCTGTTGTGGAAAGGAGTGTGTGTGTGTGTGTGTGTGTGTGTATGTGATTCTCTTTGCATAAAGACTCCAAAACAGGCCAAAAGGAACAAAATATTGTGAATGATGTTTATGTATTTCATGAATCTGTAACAAGGAGGATTATGGCCACTGTTAATACTGGAGGGAGGTAGGAGACATCCCAGGCTTCCAAGCTGCTAGCGTCATTTTATTAGTGTCTGAAATGAATACGTGTGAGTACATGTTTTCAGAAATTCTGCATCAAAGCTCCTTATATGTAGGTATGGAAATAATACAATGAAACCCCTTTGTTCAATTGACATATGCTAGAAAAAAGAAAGTATATATACACAACAAATCCATATATATCTATACAAACTTTTAACGACTTTCAGACAGCCTGTAACTTCATGACTCAACAGCTCATTTTTCTATACATTTTTCTATACATTATCTTCCATGTATCATTACTACCATTTATTTTTCCCCGGGGCGGGGGGGGGGGCGCCAACACGATGAGGCATGGTCTCTCATCCTGTTGGCACCATCATCTTTGGTAGCCTAGGCTGGCCACCAAATCATGATCCAGTGCCTCAGCCTCCCAAGTGCTGGGATTACAGACGTGCAGTACCAGGCTTGGCTGTTTGGTTTTCTTTGATTGTTGAGTTGCTGGAGACGACCCCAGAGCCTTGCACAAGCCAGCAAAGCGTTCTACCACGGAGCTAACACCCCCCACTCACTATCAACTGCCTGATAATGTTAGGTGACATCTAAGTCGGCTATTTTTGAACTCAGAATACACATGGCCATAGAAATGCTGAGAGCCTGCCTAGAGCCCAATGTTACGGAGTGAGGGACAGCTTAAATGGCCAAACCTCGTGTCATCCTCACAGCCTCCCCTCACCTCATCTTACAGGACGCGGAAACCAAGGCCCCGCCTAGTTCCCTACCTGGACGAGAAGGCACCTGAGTTAAGAGGTGGGATTTGAATCACGGCCACTCCTCGCACGTCCCTTTCATCAAGACAAAACTTCGTACAAAGTCTTTTATCCGTCTCGATAACGTTTAACGATCGCACAGCAGGTTAAAAGAGAAGCAGCTGACACTGGCCATGGCCCTGGACCAGGTGGGCGGGGTCCGGGCAGGCCTGGCCGCGCCTTCCCGCGGTGTGGGGCCTGAGGGCGGACCCCGGAGGACCGGGGACAAGGACCGGGGACAAGGACCGGGGACAAGGCGTCGGGGCGGCCCCGCCCTACCCGCTCGCTGTGAGGACAGTAGCTCTTGCTGAAGATCATCACTCGGTTGCCCTCGATGAGGCCCTGGAGGCGGCGCCGTGTCTCCTCGCGGGCCTCGGAGGGCTGACGGCTGGTCCCGGGGGACGACAGGCGGGCTCGGCGCCCGGGCGGCGACGCCATGGGCCTTCCGCCGACGTTGCCCTGGCGGCGGTTGGGGCCGACTCCCGCCTTCCCCCTGCCTGGCGACGCGGGCGCCCGCGGCTTCGGCGGCGGCGGAGGGGACGGAGGCTGCGCCAGGACTTCGCTGTCGCTCCCGGCCGGGCCGGGTCGGGTCTGCTTAGGGACCGAGACGCGGGCGGCAGCTATTACAATGCCGAGAACCGTGGTTAAGGGCCCAGAACGCTGCCCACGCCGTCCACACCCCGCACTGGCCACCAGCCCACCTGGCAGCCGCCCGCCCAGCCCCCTAGCGCAGTTCCGCCCCCTACGCGACGCCCCACCCTCAAGTCCAACCCCGCCCCCAGCGGCGAGCTGCCCTCTACGCGAAGCCCCGCCCCCACGTGCAGCCCCGCCCCCAGCGGCGGTCGGCCCCCTGCGCGAGGCCCCGCCCCCACGTGCAGCCCCGCCCCCAGCGGCGGTCTGCCCTCTACGCGAAGCCACGCCCCCACGTGCAGTCCCGCCCCCAGCGGCGGTCGGCCCCCTGCGCGAGGCCCCGCCCCCACGTGCAGCCCCGCCCCCAGCGGCGGTCTGCCCCTGCGCGAGCCCCGCCCCTAGCGGCGTCCCGCCCCTAGCGGCGATCTGCTCGCTACGCGAAGTCCCGTTCCCACCTATTCCCTGCACATCCCACAGCTTCATCCCCTATACCACCTATGCTTGCCCCACAACCCCACCTGCCATCCTGCTGGCCTCGAGCTGCTGGCCCTGCACAAAGGGCCTGGTATAAAGCTTTGTCCTTTCGCTATCTTGACAGTGTGTGCATCCGTGGACCACCTGGTCTTGGTGTTTCCGCCCAGAAATGGCCTCTGTGCAATACCTTCCACTGCTACTGATCTCCTCCAGCCCCCTCTAGCTGTCTTAACATTGATATAGATTCTCCAGGGAGGACAAATGTGTCAATTTTATTTTGGGAAGTGTGAATAAAACCATCTTTAGGAAATGTTTATTTTTTTAAAGTTTATATCACACAATCTAAGCAAAAATGCTACATCTTCTATCGTAATGCTGTCTTAACGTTTCCAGGTTGCTTCCCCTCGGTTCCCTAATACAGAGCCCAGCACCACCTGTGCCCCAACAAGAGTACTGTGACCATTCCTTGGATGGCAGGCCGTCCAAATGATGCGTGTGAGGACACAGTGAGAAGAACGTGCTCCCCACTGTGGTGACATAACGATCTTGCAACTAGACTCCAGGACTGTGACAAATTTCTATTGTACACAGCCACCTAGTCTATGGTGCTTGGTTATGGCGACAGAACAGACACACATGGCCACTCAGCAAGTATGACTTCTTGTCAGCCACCTTGGTGTAAACTTTCCCTTCTTGAAGACACTTTTGCAGTGTCAAAGCCCCAAGGCGTCATCATTTCACACCTGTCCCAGTTTCTTCGTGACACACCTATGCCAATTATCTCCTGCAATTACTGTCATACTCATCTGCCCCACCCCAGCCCCATGTCACCACTAGAACGAGCTTCGTGAGAAAACGACCTTATCACACATCCACAGCTCCACCTCCAGAATCCAGCACTGTGCTGCCCATAGCAGGAAGCAATACAGAGTTACCCAACGAGGGGAGGGGAGAGGAGAGGAGGGGAGGGGAGGGGAGCAGGGGAGGGGCTGGTACAAGATACATTCTTCAAAGACACAGTCTCCAACCAGGCCCCATTCAGCTATGACCTCAAATCCATCCTGATTCAGTCACCTCTCAATAGCGTCACCAGCTGGGGGATGAAGACTTGAGCACACAAACCTTTCTTGGGGACACTTTATATCCAAACCATAACAGAGATTAGAGACCAGACACTGCTGGGTATGGTGGCTCATGCCTGTAATCTCAGCATCCAGAGGCTGAGGCAGAAGGATTGCAGTTGAAGGCCAGCCTGTGCTACACAGGGAGACACTGTCTGGATAAAACAAAGACACAAAAAGGAGAAAGGGGACAGTCCTCTTTTTCCTTTCCTTTCTTCCTCAATTTCTCCAAATCCCGACTTGTGCTTAGACACACAGGCAGCCATCTTCCTGTGACCTGAATTCACTGGATGTGCTCCCTTCCGCTTCTTGTAGCGTTTCCACCCGGCTTTCCATGGGTCTTATGAATTTGGCCCCTCCTCTTTTGGTCAGCACCAATTTCTCCCCATTTGTGGATCTTGCAGCATCTCCCAAATGCCCTCAGCTGTGCTTCTCTGCTCAGCTGCTCCGGTGTCCTCTTCCTCTGTTATCATCCGCGCCAGCTCTTCTGCTGTCCATCACTCCCGCTGATGTGCGTGCCTCTGTGCACTGCGTCTCCATTGGCCTCCTGACTCCTCTTCCTGAAGGACTCCAGACACAGAAACAGGGGCTGCCACGCACGTGCTCCTTCCCGAACACCTCCCACAGACCTAGTGTTCAGCAAGTGCCCCTGGAGCACCGGCAAGAAATCAGCTACAAAGCCAGGGCGCGGGCAGGGCCAGCCCCTGAATATCTGGTCTGTGCCCTCCCCATGATTTGGGGTTTTCTGGATGAGCAAGTTAAAGGAAACGGATTCCAGATCTCACCTAGGGATGAGAGGGGGAGAAAATTAGGGTAGTGACAGGGAGGGGACTCTCTCCCTCTCCTCCCCTGTTCTCTCCTCTTCCTGTTCTCTTCTCTTCCTCTGTCTCCTCCTGGCCACCATGAGGTGAACAGCTTTGCTCCAGCACCTGTTCCCTGCCATGATATTCTCTCTCGACATGGGCCCACAACCATGGGACCAAGTGACCATGGGCTGAAGCCTCTGAAGCCATGAGCCAAATTAACCTTTCCTCCTTTGTCACAGTATTTTGTCACAGTGACAAAAGGCTAACACAATCTCTTAATCAGGTTTTACCATAGGACTGTTTTGTTTTCTAATTCAGGATTTTCTGCTTTTACCTTTGCTAGTTCCTTTGTTTCTTGGAACCATTTTGTAACTTTTCCCTATTCCTTAAGTTGTAGTTAATTCATTTATCTTCTGCTTGCTTTTATAAAATAAATATTCATTTTGACAAAAAACTTGGGCTTGGTGGCTCACCCCTATAATCCCAGCTACAAGGAGGCAGAGATCGGACAGTTCTCAGTTCCAGGCCAGACTGGGCAGAAAAGCATGAGACCCTATTTGAAAAATACCTAAAGCAAAAAGGGCTGGGGACATGGCTCAGGCAGCCCTGCATTCAAACCTCAGGACCACCAAAAAGAAAAAAGAAAGAAAGGAAACAACAAAGAAAAACCCTCATTTTTTCTCCAAAAATTCAAGCAACACACACAAATAGTAAGTACAAAGCAAACTATAAGAGTGATTATCCACCAAATACAATTTTCTGTCACTCCAGCTATTTTTGTGTTCATTTAAACAGAAAGATGCATAGGCATATGGTTTTACAAAATACGGCAAAGCTAATTTTAAAACAGAATGACACTTTGAGGAACAAAGCTAAATTGAAATCGTACAAATTCTTTATTCAGGTTATCCAGACATTTTTCCAGGAAAGGTGTCAGTCCCTCAAAGAGCTCGCTAAAGAAAATGATTGCGCAACGAGGCTGGAGTCACTACATCGTGAGCAAGTTCCAACTTTGAACTGGGTGTTTCTTCTTCCTGGCAAGAAAGGGAAGAAATTGGAGCCCTTCCACGTTTTCCTCCGCCTCCTTCTCATTCACGAATATTATGGATTTCATTGCCGTTTCCCTGGTCAGGCTCTGTGACAGTCGGGGCTGGCTTGGTAACAGCCCCTCACACAACTTTGTCTTACTGACACGGAGACTTGGGGAGGTTTGATGTCAAACACCAATGGCTTTGCCTTCGTGAATTTTAATATTTCAACCACTTCTTCCTTATTTGCTTTGCATTATCCCAGCTAATTTTTTTAACAACTGGTGGTGGTCATTGCCAGCCCTGCCTGAGCTTTCACACGCCTGAGGGTGTCTGTTACACACGTAAACAATTTAGCTCGTTCTAAAACATTTGAATCAGACTCCGTTTCCCTCTGCAAGTTGCGGGCGTTCCTCCGATCCCCTGGAGTGAGGTGGGGATGAGCAGAGTCTGAGAGCAAAGTGTCCCCTCTCAGGTCAGGTACTACGCAGCTGTCGACTGTTACCGAACAAGTCAGCCCAGCACTGTGCAGCTGAGCACAGCACACACGCACTGTCTCTCAGTTTCCTGGGTCAGAAATCTGGAAACAGAAAGCTCCATGATTCTGGCCCTGAGGCTGTGTGAGGTCACAGTTCAGCTGTCGGACAGGGCTGCAGTCATGGCAGCTCCACTGGGATGGGAGAATCTCCTTCAAGGTCATTCCCACAGCCGTGGACAGAACTCAGTTCACCACATGGGCTGCTCTGTAGGATTCCCGGGTATCCTAGAGCAGGTGTTATGACTTGGAGATGAATTGGCCCCAAAGGCTCCTGTGTTGAATGCTTGGTGCCCAGCTATTGAGAGGTGATTGGATCAGGAGGATGACAGCTCATCAATGCATTAATCCATTGATGAATCCATAGCTGATTGGGCTGTTAGAGGTGGGGCCTGGTGGAGGAAGAAGGTCACTCAGGGCGTGACTTTGAAGGGTGTATCTTGCTCTCCTCTCTCCCTCCCTCTCCCTCTCCTTCCTGGCTACCACGAGGTCAGCACCATGGTCCCCCACCCCCTCCCACCATGATGTGCTGCCTCACGACAGGCCCACATCCATGGGCCAAGCAACAAGGACTAAAACCCTCTGCATCCGTGAGCAAAGTAAACCTTTCCTCATTTATGTCGGTTTCTCTCAGGTGTTGTGTCACAGTGATGAAAAACTGACTAACAAAGAAGGTGACTTTCCGTAGGTGAGAGGAGAGAGAGAGAGAGAGAGGGAGAGAGAGGGGATCCCCATCTGTTTATAACTCACTTCAGAAGTGACATCCCAGCCCATAATCAGAGGGAGAATTAAGCTCCCTTCTTGAACTTAAGTGTGTCAAGACATGGGCTCACCTGCAAGGCTGCCATATACCATAGCC